AGGATTAGTGATGGTCCCAAGATTCTCCTCACATTTTATTTGCTCTCTGCCTCCCTCCCCCTGAAGATGTATTTTCTCTTGGGAAACCTCCTTCTTTACATGTTTATCACATCTGTGATTACTCGGGCTATGGTTCAGTCATAGCTTGCATGTTAATGAGCACTGCCACCCAAAAACTGCTTGCTATACCTTAAAACCCAGCTGTTAGATGGCAAATGTCAAACATACCAAAACATACTATTAAGAAGTCATCACGTGACACTCTTGGAACAATTCTGCTACATTTACTCCATCTGCTTAAGAGTGCAAACTCTCACAGATTATCGGTTTCTAATATGTTTTGCAGGGACCATGCATTCCAAATATGCCTCTCCTTAGATACCTAGCAGATGGCTTGAAATACAGAGCATTGTTATCTCACCCTCCATCTGATGAAGCTGATTTGCATCATTAATGATACTTTGTCTGCTTTAGTATAAAAATCTCTCATATTTTGAATAAAATGGATTAATACTCTACACTACTGCAAGATAATGAGCAGTGTCTCGAAAGAGTGAACTTAAAGAACAAAATCCTTTTGCTCCTTATTTTAGTGAGGAGGCTCAACTGGCACAGCACTTCATTCATTTATGTAAACACTGGAACATCTACTAACTTCTGAGACAGCAACACTTTGAATGGTAATTTTAAAAAATCTATCTTGTTCCACACATTTCTTTGGGTCCTTACAGCTATCAAATAAACTCAGTTCTCACACAGATCAATCCTTTCATGTACATGCATTCTCACAAACCCCGTGTGATAGAAGGGAAATCAACTGAAGGTAAGGCAGAGATTTAATGAGATACAAGATGTATGTGCAAAGTGACAGATATATTTGCTCACTTCACACTGCTTTCATTGGTGAGATATCCAAGCCAGCAAATAACTCAGACAATAAAATTTTTCATATAGAAATATGTATTTTACCAATTTTAAGGGCAGGTGATTTCATGGAAACCTTCAAAATCAGGGCAGTATTTATAAACTTTAAGTCTAAATTTAGATTCCAATTTTAAATACTTAAACAAATGTGACTTGATTCAATTCCACTGATTTAAAAAGTGCATCGCARAATACGGCCACTTTTATTTAGATGCTTAAGTATTCCTTCCAGATACAACATTTAAGTTGTATCTTATCTTATTATCTTATCTGTAYCTTATCTTATTTCAAGTTGTATCTTGAAATGAAATTTCAACCTCAATCTTCTCCTTTTATGACTTTATAGAACTCTTTCCTGCGCTCAGCTGATGACCTCCAACCATTTACAAGCAGGCACATGATTTAAGATCACCGATGGCAGAACTTGGTAGTTCTTCAAAGAAGTGGATCCCTAGAGCCCCCTTAAGTGGTGGTGATGATAAAGGTCTACAGCAGAATCTTCACACGGAGTGTAAAGAAGTGAGATGAAGAAACACATTTTCTGTGAAAGAACAAAGGTCCCCCATGAAGATGCTCAGTGACTTTCAGCAAGATAGCCAGCTACAGTAAGCTTCTAGCAGTAAAACACTTGAAGAGATGAGCTAAGTTAGCTGAGCTTCCTTACACTTAACACGCTCACACAGAGTGTATTACACTTAACACACGCCCTCATTAAGCCTTCTTTGCTCGGAATTTTCTTCCCTACTTCTCCTTTATGATAAAGGTGGTCAAAAAAACTACATTTCTACCTTATGTTGATGCTATACTGYAAATTGAAGGGTTTTGAATCATGCTGCTTCCAGCTGAAACATTTCCTAGCAAAATGATATGTTTCGTCTGGAGAAAAACTCCCCAAGTATATCTGAATTCTCGTTGCACAGACTTAATCATCCATTGGTTTCAAAGGCATCTGCAAAGGTGCCAGTTCTACCTCCTGCTACACACACGTTCTCTAAACTTCCCTTAGAGAGTCTTCCTTTAGCCTATGATACATAAGGAGCAAATCAAGAATCTAAATGAAAACCAAATAAAAAATATATTCTCTCTCTAATGTATTCTCAAAAAAGAAAAAAAATAGGGTTTTGCTTACTTTTTTATGCAAGCAATAAAACAGGTGGAGTTAATTATGCAAAACCCAAATAACTTCCAAAAAACCAAATATCTGTAACTACTCCATTCACATAAATATAAAAGGATTGTGAATGTACTGTATTTTAGAGTATCCTTCTTGCTAAAAATATCATAGACTTTCTTTTTCCACCGATATTAAAAGAAATTCTCAGCTTCTAATTATTAGGGATAAACTATTTTTAGAATTGTGACATTTGCACGTATTGAAAAACTGTCATTGGTCCTGGAATAAACTTCACCTGTGGGAGCTTGGCCAGTACAGTCCAAAAAAAAAAAAAAAAAAACAAGGACAGAAAGGGAAATTGCAACACTTGAAAGTTCTAGAATACCCAGGCACGCAGTTAGGAAGAGGAGTTGTTGGCAAGCCCAGAGGTGCCCGTTACCTGCACTGCTACACACACAGCTTGGACTTAGACTTCATGCGTTTGTGTCCTTGGAAAATGCAGAGAACACTGGCCTCTAAAYAGCAACACTTGGAAACATTTAGGCCATCTACAAAATAAAAAACTCAAACCAGGAAAAGGTCAAAGTATGTAGGGCACTGAGGAATAACCCTTGTATAGAAAAGCAACAAACTGTATTGCAATGCCCAATTATTCCTAAATGTGATTTAGTCCAAGGAAAGCTGAGGAAAGTTTGAAATTGTCAACTACTGTCAGTAAAGAAATGTCTTAGCTGCACTTGCTTCCAAAATATGAAATAGTGCCAAAAAGAGGATTTAATTTCTAATTAATTCCTAGAAACTACACTTTTTATGGAAGCAGGATGAATAGTAGCATGATGATCACAATGGAAATTTCTCTCACAAGTACTAAAACTACATGACGAGGGAAAAGAACATGCTGCAAGCCCTTTAACAAGACCCATCAGGACACATAAAAATGTGTTACACATTAAAATATTGATGCAGAAATGAAAATTCCAGGTAGACAACCAAAATACTGTAACAAAAGGCATAAATAAATAAAAACAAACCACAACTGCAAACCCATCAGAAGTATTCTGTACAGAAGGAAAGAAAAAAAGAAAAGAAGTCTTTAGAGATTCTCCAGTGTTCAATAAAGAGAAATTTGCTTTGTTCTGGGAGCCTGATATGTTAATTAAAWCCACGCAACCCAGAAACATCAGATTATTAATTTTTAATAGACACACGTGCTCCCTTCTCTGTGGCTGTCCCAGCAGCTCCCGAGAGGCCCCAGGCCCTGGGGAATCTGCCCCTGCCACCCTTACCTTCACTCGCACCTTGCACGGGCAGCTCACTGCAGAGCAGCTGCAACACGGCCGYGAGCAGCGGTCGTAACAACAACAGCTGTGGGGTTCCCAGCTTTGCAGAGGTTTATATTCTATAGCTTGTGTTGGTATTGGTACAGTAACAGCAAATAACATAATAAAAACATAAAGAACATAATAACATGAAGTTCCAGCATATCCTCTCTCTTACGCATACTCGTGCTGCATTAAGAAATATTTCTGRGTTTTCAGAGCCTTCTACAATGTGTCAGCCTTACCTATGCAGCTTATCCTCCAGCATCTCCATGTATTTTACTGCATTTTCTTTTACACTGGCCACTGCAAAATAAAATCCAAAGTTAGRCAATAGCATATCTGTAATTTCTTAACATCATCTCATCTCTTATGGCTTTACACGTATCGCTTGAAAATGGTAATTCCTCTACAATAGGCATATAGATTTTTTTAAAAATGTATTTGTAAGGTAGATTTATGTCTCCGCAACTTCTCTCAGAAGAAAATGTAATAACCACATACTCAACACAAAACAACAAAGCTGTTCTTTCAGATGATCCTCAGTACTCCATCTTGGGCAAGAATGGAGGGAAAAGTTAGTTCCCTCTGGGAAAATGGAGAACGCAAAGAATAATCATTTCACATTATGACCAAAGGAAAAAAAAAGTTTTTTTTTTTTATTTTCCCTTTCTAACAGCTGATTTCCTACACTAAGTCCACTAGGACTCTTTATCAGTCAGTCCTTTTTACATTATTAGTATCTCACTATACATCAATCTCATATGGTTTACCTGAAAATACATTCTGCAGAGAATTGCTGTTGCTGTAGGCAAAGTTTGCTGCATGGATCCGATGGACGCCCTGTAAATTTAGCCATCGATCTCCTCCCACTATATTCTCTGCAATGATTTATCTCCTCTTTGTGGAATCACCCCAAAGGATACACACACTTGAGAGGAATAGTACAGCTATGTCAAGAGGTTTTAGTGATTGGCATTGACTGTTCTTTGATCTCAGTGATATACCTACGTAAAGTGTCCGGATACAACTAACACATATTAAACATTCCAATGTGTTCCTTGCTTTGCCTTTCTGTTTCCCTTCCCGCTTCCCCCCCAAGCCCTGTTCCCTAAAATACAAATCTTCACACACTAAAGCCTAACTTGAAATCCTGGCATTGCCCGGATCAGCTGTTCCAAAGTTGCGCACATACACACACACACACACACACACTTCCCATATACAACCATATACAAATATAGCTGTTACTTCGATTGGCTAAACAAAGTATCCACCCCGATGTTCTAGAAAACACCACAGTTTTGTCCATGACCTTTCTAATCCAGATTCACTATCAAAAGAAGTTTTGCAACACAACAGCTGATGTGGAGCCAGAAGGATTAGGGATGGGTATGCTGTATAGGGAGTTGCCTTCATTTACGGAGTCACTGCTCCACCTCGCTATCAGAAGAGCACTGGGGAACACTAAAGGTTATACAAGGATTTCTGCGATGGCACTGCAGACTAAAATAAGTTTCTTTACCCGGTAGCAGAGTTTTATAACAGCTACACGGCTTAGTAAAAGTTCCTGGCTTTATTATCGCTCTTTTATTCCCTGCGCTTCCCGCGGAACTCCAGAGAGTGTTCCTTTAATGACGCACTACAGAGGTACATAAACTAAACCCAGCTTTCCAAAGCTGCCTTTGTGAAGCGCCAGCGCGCTGACCCGCAGTTCAGCGGGCTCTTTGAGGGCAGATTGCTTCAAGGGACACAGCGGCGGCACTCGCCATTCTCCTGCCATTGTCGCAATATCCTTGGACACCAGCTCTTGCAACGCACACGCTTATTCTTTCCCATAATAAAGTCCGAAGATATTAATAATTTTTGGAGGGGGATAAGAAGAGGTGGAGAATCTGTTTCACACTCGCTTTGTTTCTAACCGATATAGTGACTTCTTATGTTACATGAAAGATAAACCTTGCTCTCAATTTCGCCTGCTGTGCTTGTCACTTTTTAATTGGGTATGATCTGATAGAGTAATTCTCACTTTCACAGTTCAGCCCTGCCCCTACATGCAATTGTACCATGCCCTTGAAGCACAGAGCTTAAGAAATCAGCATTATTCAATGACAAAAAGTAATGCACAAGAACACACCACCAGTCAAAAGTAGGTCATTGAAAAGCTAGCACTCATTTGGAAATCACGGCACATCACTAAACCGTATGCTCTCCTGCCAAATGTTTTAACTAAATTAAAAGAAATGCAAACTTTGCACTTGCAAAGACAAAGCCATGCAGACTAGTTTTGTCTCCTTGCCTTCTTGTGCATGTAATCAAAAGACTTGTGACCTGGGTATTTTTCTTGAAGGAAAACCTTGCTTAATAATTCTTGAGGCCTACTTTCTTTGCAACAAAGCACACGCAGCATTGCAACAAGTCCACAAACACTTTTGCCCTTTCAGATCATTTATTTGAAATAGAAGACAAACAACAAATTAGCAGAATTTAGTTTTAATTTAATGAATCTATTCATCAACACTTCAAAGCCTACATCACATGTAGACTGTAAGCTCTGCATGCCTCAAATTTACCTAAAGAAGTACTAGAAGACAGACAAAATAATAATGAGATTTTCTTCTGCATAAACAGTCCAAATAGTTTATATTTAAGTGAAAGAGATTGATTTTTCCATCAGTTCTCTGAGGATTTACATGCTTTGCTCTTATTGGCCTTGAGGGGAGTTATTAAAATAAAAGATCAGACACCAGGATGTTTGCTAAGATTAACAATAGACTTTTCCTGTAAAGGATTAATGGATTAAAAGTGATTCAGCATTTCTTTTATTTTGTCATATAATCTTTTTCCTCCTCCATTCTCCCAACAAAATCCAGTCTTACAACCAAACCTGGTCAGATGGAACTGAGGGTCACCCACAAACTTGGGTGGCCCTTTCAGTTGTTGCACAGCATAAACATGACGTCTTGAAAGCTGCATAAATCTCTTCCAATAATTAAACCAGAGAGTTTATAGAATAAAGAATATGGCCTAAATCCATAGCCGAAAACCAAAGGATGGAGCAGCTGAAATTGCTGCCAGCAGCTCTGGACCCAGCACTGGAAACCTGTCACACATTACCCGCTCACATCGCAAGCCTATAGCCTATACCATTAATCTCATTTTTCTACAACCATTACATTCCTTTTCAAGTACTTTATTAGTAAAGTAAGATACCCATTAATTTCAATTAAATTTTTATCTGACTTCAGAAACTCAGGTGAGCTTTGGTTCTTTTTAACATTGACATAAAAACTATATAACTGCATGGACATGGATGGACCTATATGGGTTAAACATAGAGGGCTGAGTGTGACAAAGCCCTCTGTGTTTAACTCGGGTTTCTGACAGATTTCTGGGGTTTAAGTGTATAAATAATCATTAATGCTAAAATAAAAAGAAAGCACATCATTAGTTAAAAGCTAAAAATACCTGACAGCAAGAGAAAAACCCAAAGAACAAGCTGTGAGTTAAGAACAACAGCCTCTTTCCAGTTCATTATTCCTGGAGAACTTAACTGAAGAGGAGAGAATAGGATTAGAGAGAGGAAAATAGGTGGTTCAAGACAGACATACAAAAGCTCCTAAAAAGCTGACATCCTGGGTCAACTCAATCAACCAAACTCCTTTCTGGTTCACTGATTACCTTTCAATAATGAAGTAAATCCTGAGATGTGTAGTTACGACCTGTCTTTTCCACTGGTTGTGCTTTCTTCTAAGGAATCTACTCATCCTTTAAGCATCATTATTGAAGAGCACTGTATTAGTCCAGAGAAATTAGTGTCTAAGATGAGGCCATCTAAACCAGTCAGAGATGAGGCCAAAATTTAGGAGACCAGAGAAGGGTGAACTGCAAAAAGAACATTGGTACCAAACAACTGTGATATTAAATCTCCACATTTCTTCTGCTGGAACTGCACATCATGTGAATGCAGCTGGATTGTCCTATGCAAGGGCTGTATTTCTTTGGAGGGAAGAGAGCCTGCAGCAGCTGCTGAGGCGGAGCTAGGTGATCTGGCAATATTGATTTTATCCAAGTCCCAGCCCACTAGAGGACAGTGGGACTCTCGGTAATCTATTGTCACATGTCATTGTAATGCTCATGCAACTCTTAGAGGGAAGCAATATATTGCATCTTGCCCATAGGAGGATTTCAGCCAGTGGCTTCATTCAGACTGCTTCTCCAGACCTAGAGGGACTCCTGTCCCAACATAGTGGGGCAAATCTTCCGATAAGTGAAAACCAAAAAATAAAGGATTTAACTTGAACATCACTGACACACAATACTTTGCTCACTCTTACCCTAAATGCTACGCTATCAGCTTCTGCTTCATACCCCCAATCATTTTTTTTTTTTTAAGTAATAATAAAAACACATGGAAAGAAAGAGAAATGCAAACTGGCGGGGCACAAGACCGAAAATCGTTTTCCAAATTACGTTGCATTGGCATAGGAAAAAGGGTAAAGTACAAAATGTACAACTTCCTTAAGCAGTTCCTTGTGGGGCAATCCCTACTCCTTTCAGTAGAGGTCCACTATTCCCTTTCCCTCAAACATGTGGGACACCCAAATAGGAGTGAGGGTGAAGTCCAGCCCCTGTTCAAGCTGGGATGGATGGACACTGCAGTACCAAGGACAACCCGGCTTCTCTCATTAGCAGAGAAGTGGCCAAGTACAGCTCATGTGGAGAGATGGCACAGTTTCACACATAGCAGAAGCCGGTAATGAACGAGCCCTTTGATTGTTCATGGAAGGATCTCCATTTGCTTGTTCCTCTGCCCCCTCAGTGCCCACCTTATTTTCAGCAATCTTAATTTGCAGGCTTTGCTGCAACTTAATGAATTTTGAGCTGACATCGACACTCACAATGAATCAACAAGACCTTGACTTTGATGTGAAAGATTGCAGCCAGACACACGTGGCTATAGAAATTATTGATATAAACAGAGAGGCCAGGTCTTGCCCTCAGGTTAGATGTTAGGACAGATAAAAGATATAGGAAATTTCAGCATAAACAGAAGTTTGACAAAGACATAAAATCCTGAAAACTACATCTTACAAAGATATCTTAAAAAGAGGCACTAGCAGCACTGCCTGTACCAACTTAAATATCTACCTTTTTGGGCACAGCATAAACGGCTTGCAGAGCAGGCAAGAGGGCAGAGAAAAAACCCACTCTGCATAAAAAGGCACATTTGAAAAACCCGACATTTCCAGAAATTACCTCCCGAACCTTCTKCATTGTATGTGATATTTTCCATCCATAAAGAGAGGTGACCCTGCAAGTTCAGTGATGATTGAATTGCCTACATTGAAGGATATTACCATAGCTTYAAATGTATTTTAAGCCTCTTCAGATTTTTGTAAAACGTAGCAAGCCAGACACATGGTAGTTCCTCCTCTGCTACATGTGGGAGACAGCAGGCGAGAAAAGGCAGTTACTTTCTCAATACTTCCAGTATATAATCTGCCTTTAAAACACACCAGCTCAAATTTTAAGCATTGCTTTTTATTATTCAGTATTAAAACAAGCATACTGCTTCTAAATTAAAGGGACTGGAGGTGAAACACTGTGACAACAGTGACCAGAGCACTAAAGCTACACAGCAACAGACTTCCCTTGCTGTTTTAAGAGGCTATATAAAGCATAGGGAAGGAGATTAAGGCAGAGGGTCATAAAGTGATTAGTGGAAAACCACCCAGCGACCCAGTCACCGGCCTGGAAGGGGCCTCCAGGCCTCCCACCATAGCGCAGGCCCGTGCGTGCCGCCTCGCTCGTGACCACGGGCCTGCACGTGCCGCCTCGCTCGTGACCACGGGCCTGTCGACCACGTTTGGCTGCTTTTTACATGCGCAACTCAACAACTACAGATGGTCGATTTGGGGTTCACCAAACATTTTCAAATTTAATGCAGACCTGGGGAAAGAAAAACAAACAAAACAACAACAACAACAATTCAGGCCTCCCCATGTGCTTAACACTGTAATGCACCTTTATCGGTTTTGGGAAACCTGAACTCAATTCCAAATTCAAATTATTTTGGTGTTTTGCATTTCTAACAGAAATAGGCCAAACTCTCCCAGAAAGGTTTTCTTTATTACAGACAGGTTTTAAATTCTTTCAAATGAATTAAGACCTGAGATATTCTTTAGCTTGGGTGTGACTACGTGGCGCTGGAGAACATTCTGAGGAATACTGTCAAGGGACCAAAGCTTTTAAATTTTCCTGCACATAAGCTGAGGTTTGACTTTTACTCTCCCTTCCCATCACATAGATGAGACCCTCCTAACTGCTTGGCTAGTTCTTTTGTGGCCATTCAAGCCCCTATTTTCTTAGAACATCATATAAACATTTATCAGTGCATATTAATGCTAAGTGTCCTGTCCCATCCAAAAAATATGATGAAAGCTTCATTTTTTGCTTCCTTTCTCCACTGACCAAAGGGAGTGAATGAAGTGGGGGAACACAATCAACCTACATTTTCTTCTCACTTTCTGCTACCTGGTTTTGCTCCCTGCCTGCCTTAAATGAAATTTAAGCAATTTCATTTCTTTGCTGACCATCTGTTTGCTCCCCCTGCAACAACTTCTAAAAACCTCTTTCTTTTCTCTCATTTCTCCTTGCAAAGCAGACGGGTATCAAGGAGAGCCATGTGTCCAGTTCGGCCTCTGCGGATTGTCAGCAATCACAAGAGCTCATCTGGAAACCATTACCCAAACTAAAAGACAAACAGACTCGACATGTGCA